GCCATCACTGCGTACATTTTGTTCAGACAACCCGGAACGTGAATGCGTGGTTTTGATGTCGATGTGAAGTACTCCTTTTTCGGTTAATCTCGCTAGTGACCTTGTTTTCCACATGTATATGTGTACGTGGACTGAGCTTCTCCCCACACCGAAAGAGGATGTAAGTTTTTGCATGGAAACTCACTCCATGTGCTGACCAGTAGTATTTAGCCTATCCCCACTGATAATCGGTTTCTTTTTCATCGACGGACTATCGGGTACTTCCGAATTCAGCTTCAATCGTGTATCAGTTGGAATGGTTTATTTAGGTGAACCCTGGGAGCCTTGGGATTCCGGGAAGAGATTTCACGGAGGTCCAATAGTCGTCACAGCAGCTAGCAAAAGCTGCCAGTGACAACTGTACACGGGCAATAAACCACAGGAAACATATACGAAATTCCTTATCATCAATAGTTTCCAGACGCATTTACTAATCTACGTGCAGAAAAGTTGGCCGACCGTAGTGTGGACAAAGCTACTGATGAGTTAACTTGACTTGACTTGCACTTCACAACGAACTGACGAGCAGACCCGGCGATTAAATGCATTTAGTTGATGATGATAGCGTCAGCAGAATACGAACCAATGATCAGTATTAGTTTCACGTTTATTCTCCCTTTTAGAGAGATTTACTAACCATAATTAAAAACTCACTAGGATTGTTCATTGTGCACTTCCACTTCAGACAGATGCGCAAATGTGCACAGCCTTAAGCTGCAAGGAAATCACGCGAAGGTGCGAACGAAGACTCGTTTCTTCATGGACGAGAAAACCGTAAAATCGTTAGTGAGTGATAGTAAAAGCAGCGTTGCCAAGGAGACCTTGGAACACCAGCGGACAATGATTTTCTTCCAGTAGTGTACACTCAATTCTGACTGCCGCGGTTTTGCTTCGAAATAGTGCAGAGGTAAAAATCTATCTTTTAGGAAATTCGCCTACGGTATTGTTCGCATTCACGTGAGCTGTCCGTCAGCTTGTAAAAATATAGACACGCCATTCGAACGGATTAAAAATCATAAGAGCAAGGTGTATCTGTTCCGAAGATACTTTAAAAGACGAACTTGAACTAATGAGGAGAACCTTACTGGAAAGTGGCTTTCCTGATAAGTGTATCGACCGCAATTGAGCTGAACAGAATAAACCAACAAAAAATGGCAATAGCGGAAAAGAAAATGCTTTTGGATAAAACTGCCATTCAAATGCGATGTCGCCAATGAGAGGGTTAGCAGAATTTTAACATCAGCAGTTAAATCTACATTCAATGCCGCTCAGCCATGATGTGTGTTCTCTACGTCACCAAACATCCGATGTTACAACAAAGATAAACTGCCTATATTGATCTCATCTATGATTGTTTACCAATTCAAGTGAACCCGTGGTGCGACTTTAGTAGGTCGAACGACAAGGCAGTTATTTCAACGGATCAAAGAACACAATCCACGCTGACTCACACACGGTGGGAATGGAGTTGGGTCAAGCTCGTCCCTTGCTCATCTGGTAGAGACGGGACACTTTGTTCACATGCACCCGGCATTAACAATCATTTATCGAGTCTCATCACACCTCTCGAGAGCAATACAGTTTCGGACGTTAGCAACCGCAGAGGCGGTTAGCATCCGACTCTTGAAGCCTGAGCTGTGCGCAAAAACGCAAAGTGATTCAAGCTCTCAAACTCCATTGACCAGGGTAAGAGAAAATCGCTTGTTCACACGACCATGATGTAACGACTTTGGTTATGTGATCCAAACACCACACAAAGTTGGACTTCTCTTCGACTCACTCTCAAACACATGACTCACCCCCCTGTTTGACAGTATTGAAATTGTTTCATACAAATGTGATTATAAAGGCTTGAAAAGGAATTCACGGAAAACATATGTACACAATGTATTGTGTTCTTGACTATCATAGCTGAACCAAACTGATCATGGACTCTATCTTGATCACTGTCCACTGGTCACCCACTATTTCGTCAGGCTCATATTAAGTATGTCAACAACGGTTATACACTTAGCTAAGACAACAAAATGTGCCAACTCAGCATACTATCTACTCCGTGATCACACACTTAAGAATGGTCACATCATCGAATTAAACTTGAAAGTGTGGTCTATCCTCTGTGTGAAGTCATAAAAAACAGGGTCTATGTGTCTTTGTTCTACTGGAACTTTGATTTTGCGAGATTTCCACATCTGTGAATACGTTTACTATGCGATGATAAATGAGGCCCTTTGTATACCGGTTTCATTCCAACCCTGTTCCTTGCACCCAAATCCTCCTGTTTAATACGGTCAAATGCATTAGTCGGAAGGTCGACTCACCAGAGTGTCCATCGCTGGACCTTCCTCCGTTGGTCGTAGCGGTAAGTGAATAATATCAAAGGGTTCCTCCCGTTCAACCATGTGATTGCAAGTTTCAAATCTCGTTCGGTTTTTCACCTTCCCAGTGAACAGATCATCCAATTCTGGCCATGGTTTTGGATTTTGTAGTTGTGCAAATAAGAATGTGCGTTCGAGGAAAACATCTCGCGGGATGCCCAAAACAGACGATTTCGGACCCAATGTGTCAAACAACTCATAGGCTGCAACCGTTCGACCAGAACTGACCTTCACGATCAAGGTGAGGGAGATGTGAGAAAAGGAACAGGGGTGTGATTACCAAAGTACGTTGCGCGGGATACACTCACATGGGACGACCAGATTAGACCACATAGCAACAGCCCTTGTGACGTGAGAAGTGACACTATACAAAAAGCGATACGATGCAGCAAAAGCTCGTGAGAAAAGGGGAGTGTACACGTGCTCAAAATCTTCATCAAGGATCAAAATGCTTGAAAGCTTTTGGTTCGCATGGCACAGAGCTTTCACATTGTCCCGGTCTGAATTTTTGGAGAACTGAGTTAATTCATGAGTGATATCCTCTTGATGTCGAACTGTTACGCATGCTCTTTCCCAGTTTAGTTCAGATTCTTCTTCTGATAATAATTTTTCGTTAATTAGATCGCTCCGCATTCCAGTTATCACGCAGTGAATTGCCATTTCCTTCTCAACCTTGCTGATCTGTGTTTCGTTATACCGACAGTCTGGCAGCGCTAGTTGAGTTCTTGCTATTAAATTGTTTGCGTATTCTTCAGGGTTTTGGTGCAGTTTGGAGAAACAGTATCTGGCAGTGTATGTACTGGGTCAAGAACCCCAAAGTTCTCTGAATGTATTGAATACTTTATCCAGAGTGCTATCGTCATCAATATGCAATGCGTCGAAATAGCGCTTGCGTTTATCACCAAGGAATTGGCGAAAGATCATTATTTTGTGTAATTCGGTAATCACTGTTTGTGGATGGAGCACAGGCAATAATTCAAGGTAGTCCATGAATGTCCCTTTCCATCGATTCCAGGTGGAAAGTGCTTTTCTGTGGTTGATCACCATAATGGTGAAGGTAAATGCAACACGATTGGGTTTTATTCCCGCCGACACTATTTTCAAGACCGAATTCCAACTGCGACGCTATACACAGCATTCTTAGAGACCCGTAACCTAATAGAAGAAATCGGAACGCACACGAGAGTGTACTGATCAGAACCGGGTTAAAGATTTAATGAATGATTGTGAGGATACACCAATCGATTAAACGATGACCCAAAACCACGTCAAGCTGGCGCACAGACAAAACGGATTGGAAATGGATTATCCAGTGTCAGTGTCACGTGATTGAACCTGATAGAAGAATGTGCATGTAACAGTTGGCAATAATCTAAAGTGATTTCGTGGAGGTCGTTTTTCATAACGGTAATGACCCGTTTAGAATTTCTCCCATATCTGACAGAAAATATCGTTTATGAGTCCTTGTCAATCAGAACAGCAGACTTGCTTGAGTCGAACGCTGTATTAAACATCCAATCCACTTTTCAAATTGTTGTTTGGCAGATTTGAAATTTTTATGTCGAGATTGTGAAAAGTTAATTAACCTCGGTGGGATTCCAACCCAAGCATGAACGCCACCTACGCTTTTCGACAGCAAACGCTCTACCAGCTGAGCTACGAGGTCACACCGAAAGATCACTGATCATTACACATTCGCATCATGAAAGCGTAGGCGGCGTCAATGCATGGATTCGAATCCCATCTAGGTTACTAAAATTTTCACAGTCCCAAAATGAAAACAACTTCAATCTGCCAAATAACCGTTCCCACGAAAAACTATCTGATCAACTGTCAGTTGACCGAGAGTGCGTAGTTTGCTTGTACGCTAGTGGACGGATTTGCTCACTGTTGTTGTTATCGCCCAACCAGATGAAAACAGCTGTACAACAATGTTTCCTAGTTGTTCAACTCGCCCTGCACGGGACAACCGCCCCTGAAATCCTCAGAATGCTCGGAGGTTGGTGTCTATGGTTGTGGCTGGTC